TGGAGAATAAAAAGGAACCAGAGTTTTTCCAGATTCCATCCCTTCCTAAGGCACTACCTGAATTTTCAGATGGTTTAATTCAAATCTCCCCTGAGGTAGAAGTTGGAGGTCCTGGTTTTTCATGCATTTGGTTGCCACAATCTAGAACCATTTGAAACTGGAGTTAAGAGACTCAGATTGGGAGGGAACTATTTTAACAAGATGAAATTAGAGCCATAGGATTGTAATAGATAGCCTATCATATGCCAAAAACAGCACACATTTTGTAAATGTTTATTTTGAACATGTTACCTTAAGAATTATATTTATTTTTATATTCTCTATACACTTATTTTAAATAGTTTGGAAAGAGTCATGGTTTGAAAAGATGCTATTCTTACGAAGTTTTGTGATAAACAATTGTCACTTAACAGTGTTGTTGCCAACACTATACATACATAAAGTTTTGTTTCCATTTTGCAGGAGAGGTTTCTGTGTTTTTATCTCTTATATTTACATAATATATCATTTATGCTTACAGCGAGGTGGGTAGTTCTCTCAAGTTCCTATAAATACATATTTTTATGTTTAGTCTTCATTATTAATTTGTAAGAATTCAGTTGTACTTTTTTAAAACTTGCCTTGAAGACTTGTTTGTATGTTGTTTTAGACTATGAAAGAGGGTCATGCAGAGCATCTGTGGGGAAATGTAATAAAGCTGGGGGTCTTCTCAACATCATAATGTGTGTGGCTGTCCTGGGCTGGCGTACCTGTTCACTGTCAAATGACACTGTTGCTTCCTGAGGGGGTCATGACTATTCAACAAACATCTTAATTCTGGAAAATAATTCCTGACTCAATTTTTTACGTAGAAACACCAAAGGAAGGTAAAGCAGATATTAAGCGAGAGCCTTAAAGCAGGAAACGAGAACATATTGAAGGAGAAAGGTGGGGAGTAGAGAAGAGGAAGAAAGTGCACTGGGTGCATAGATAATAATCCAAAATTCAAAATGAAGGAAAAGTGACTCAACAAAACACACTCCTGGAAACAGTCCATGCAAAGCAGACCCACAGACTCAAGGAAATGCACCCAGCATTTTAATCATGATGGGACTTTCTGTCACAACCTCCAATGCCAGTCTTATGTGGTAGAATGTGTATTTACGTAGGAAAAAGTAAAAAAATGGGGGTGCTGGGGAAATTTCTGAGACAGACAAGAAGATAGGAAGAGCTACAGTTGTTGAGTAATTGTGGAGAAGAGAAAGCTGGTGACATGAATACGTGGAGGAAAGCATCTTGCAGATGGGAGCATCAGAGGACTGGACAGTCCCAAATACCAGGCTTCTGTGTCCTCAATGCACCTCCTTCCTGGCACATAGATGTGTATCACCCACCAGGAAAGCTCACCTGAGTTTCAGTGGCCAGAGGTTTTAGTAGGGTTTCCCTGTTTACATGGGATTGAGTCAATCACTAGCCATACATTTTGAACTCAATGTCCAGCCTCCTTCCCCATCCCAGAGAGGGGCCTGATATCATGGGGCTCAAATCCCCATTTCATCACACGGTTGGTCTTTCTGCATGGCTGACCCCTCCCCTGACTTGCCTCCCTTGGCACTGACTTGGGTGTGCTCAGTAGGGCAGGGGCCGAGCGTGAGTAACAGACAAACTCCCCTTCCACTCAGGAAACCTCCTGCCCAGGCACCAGGGGCAAGGACTGGCCAAATTCTTCACTGTACAACACTGACCCACTGTTGGAAGTCTGCCAGAACTCAGGTGCTCAGGGAAGGTAAACATTTCAGGACAGCTATGACGAGAGGTTACGGAAGCTGAAGAAATGAGAAGGGTTGAAACAGTGAGGGGCTCACAAGGCAACCGGAATAGCTAGGTGGTGTGAGAAATTTAGCAGATGGGAGCAGCTCTCTCTACACAGAGGTAGCTAATGACATGAGCAGCTGAGTGAAGAGAAGCCACAGGAGAAGCATATCTGTGAGTCAGTGGTCAGGGTGCAGTTCTGCTGAATGACATCAGCTGACAATCATGGAGCAACTGCAGAAAACCACCAAGGCCAGAAGAGCCACGGGGACTTTGTGCCTAATTACAACAGTTCGATGAGCTGGACATTATTCAGAAATGGGACAAGGCAGATGGCCTAAGGGCAGCAGAGGAACTACATTCAGCATGTACGGAAACAAGTAGAAACAATCTGATGGGAGCAGCTTGGAAACAGTTACAGCTTCTAAGACATGGCAACAACCTAAATGTCCCAGAGACAAAGGGATAGAGTAAATGAGGTATAACACATACAATGGAATATTACTCAGGAAATCCCACTATTTGTGACAACACGGATAGAACTGGGAGACTACGCGAAGTGAATTAGGTGCGTTGAAGAAGGACAAAACTGTGATACCATTTATATGAGGTATCTGAGAAAGCCAAACATAGAGAACCAGGAAATGCAAAGGTGGTTGTCAGGAGATGGAGGACGGGGGAGAGGGAACTGTCAGTGAGCAGAAAGCTCCAGTTACACAAGATGAGTGAGTCCTAGCAAGCCTGCTGTACCACATGATGCCCACAGGTAACAATGAGCTGCTCTACTCTTGGCAGCAAGTTTACCTGCTGACGCCACTGGGGATCTCGGGGAAGACTCCCCACCCAACTGTTAAAACATGAAGGTAAGATCATGACTCTCACACTGTGTGTGAGATACAAATGAACATATGCTGAACATTTTATTTAAATCGAGGGAACCAGCAACTGTTGTAACCGGTTCAAAAGAGATCCCGAGAAGCACACATTACACATCAGGAATGTGGAAAGGAATGTGTAAATGGAAAACTGAAGGCAAAACTGGGTTTTCTCTTGGTGGGGTGGTGGCGGGCAGAAGCCAGCTGAGCTTCCATGAAGCAGGACAGAATTTGCATAGGGTCCCTACAACTCAAAAGAGGGTAAAGTAGCTCAAAGATCAAGAAAGGGCTGGAATCAAATAATGCAGAAGGATGCCCTCCAAACAATGCTCAGTTTTCCAGGGAGACACACACTTCTTTTTCAACAGAATGGTGTATTCTGTTCAGTAGGTAACTTTATGGTAGTTTTTGTCTTTCCGTTTTGTATTTTTATGACTTTTCTCTAGTTGTCACGAATCAAAGTGGTTTGGAAAAGGTAGTATCTTGTCCCAACAAGAGGGAGACATCCTAGGCTAGTGCTCTAGCATATCATCGCTGAGCTCTGCTTACACTTCACTTATGATGGTTAAGTGAACGCCTTTTCCCTCCCTTACCAAGGTCATGTGCAGACCTGAAGCCCCTAAATCCAAATATGCATTCTAAAAGCTCCCATTCCTCATGCTTACAGAGAGTCCCCACACAGGGCTCCAACTCCTCAACCCTCATTCAACTTCATCTGGAAGGAGTTTCAGGCACATAAATGTCCAAAAGAAATGTAAGATAGGCCAGATGACAAGAGATTCTCCCAACATGATCAACTCTCTGAAGGACTACAATGGTCTTATTTGACACTAACAACTACTGTCCCACCACAGAGCTCACTGGCTAAGAGTGCTGAAATGAAGCAACCTCAGTTCTAACACTTACACATACTTCAGTTGGTACATGGAAACTGCTTAGAACAGTTTATGACACAAAACAAATGCTTAAGTCAAGCTATTAATTTTCTTACAATTTGCTGACTTCCTAAAGTCCTAAAAACTAGTCATGTCCCTGACATAACACTGTGACTTAATTCTCAAAATGTACAAGAGCTCTCATACTCCCAGGTTTTATTTGGTTTAACACCTTAAACACCAGATTCTCTAAAGCTGCCTCTATGATTTTATTTTATGTATCTTAAAAATTTTTTGATTCTCTGAACTATTGTTAGTTGCTCTCATCCACATTCAGGGAAATAAATACTGACAGTCCTATACTCAGAAATCTAATTCCTTGAGCCCCA